TGTGCCAAGGGTTTGAAATATTGCCAAAGCCTTCCTTTTAGCTTTACCTAAAATAATGTCTTCCCTTCTAATAATGATGAAAACAGCAAAATGCCTCCATCCATACACACACCTAGGAAATGAGATTAGGATTACTAGGGGATGTTAGACTTCTGTGAAATGCCACTTAAATAGGCAATACTGCCAATTTATCCCCTTTTGTATTGGCTCTGTGAAGATAAGGTTGGGAAATATTGTCAGGTAACTTTTCTCCATTTAAGTCTGAATCAGTAGGTATTTGCATGAGCATCATCCTCGTCATTCATTAGATGACAGCTTAAGTCTAGAGCTGGAAATGTACATTAGAATCATTTTGTACAAGCTTCTTGTCTCCCAAATGTGCCTCCTTCCCTGACCCCATTTCTATCTATGACATTTTGTAGTGAGTACCCAACAGTATGAATGATGATTAAAGCCAGTGATTTCAAAATATGTTTTATGCATTCTCAGAAGGTTTCTGTGGTTGATTACTACTAAGCACCAACTGGGTAATAATTGCCTAATTCTCTTGATAGAGAAAAAGATGTAATTTGGAAATAATTGACTGAACAAGAGAAAAATGGATAGATACTAGAAAAAATTATGTGGGCCATAGTATTGCTTAAAGCAATAAATATTTTGGAGTCAAAATACCATAAATATAACAATATAAATACCGTATATGTGTGACTACTTAACTTAGATTGTAATAATTTGTGTTTAGCTCATCTTCTGCACTTATTTTTCTTACAGTGGAGAAAACATAAGGACTATGAAAAAATGATTTAATACTGGATCCTTAGAGTTTGGAAATTTGTAACCACACTTACATGTATAAGTAATACACAAAGTATATCACTAATATATTCTGCCATTGAATTAGCCTCTCAGGAAAAATAACAGTCCAATTACTCCCCGGTCAACTCAGGTAATGGTGTTTCTACCTTTTAAATTTGATTAGTAGATTCCAGTCTTTCCAGTGAATGGCATCATTAATTAAAGTCAGTGCCAAAAAACTATGAGAAAAACTGATGCTTTGAGTAAGAATGAGCTTCTCTTCCAGGCAAATAAATGCCAAAGCTTCAGAGTTTTTATGTCTACCAAATATAGATGTTTTTCCATTTGTTCATAACTTAAATAAGAAAAATATTTATTCCTATGCATTTTAAATTGTACATTTAGATAGAGACAATTATGTTACATGGACAGAATTACATGGAATTGAATTTTAAGAATCAGGCATGGATAAAGCTATAACAATCAAGACAGTGTAGTAGCGGCAAAAGAATAGACAAATAGATCAATGGAACAGAATAGAGAGCCTAGAAATAGACCCACATAAAAACAGTCAACTGATCTTTGACAAAAGAACAAAAACAATACAATGGAGAAATGATAATTTTTAAAACTCTAGACACAGACCTTACACCCTTCACAAAAAATTAACCCAAAATGGATCACAGACCTAAATACAGAATACAGAACTATAAAATTCCTAGAAGATAACATAGGAGAAAATCTAGGTGACTTTGGATTTGATGATTGCTTTGTAGATATAACACCAAAGGCATGATCCATGAAAGAAAGAACTAATAAACTTAACTCATTAAAATAAAAAATTACTGCTCTGCAGAAGACACTGTCAAGAGAATAAAAAGACAAACCACAGACTGAAAAAATATATTTGCAAAAGACTTATCTGATAAAGGACTGTTATTTAAAATGTACCAAGAACCCTTAAAACTCAACTATAAGAAAACAATCAGGTTAAAAAAAATGGGCCAAAGACCTTAACAGACACCTTGCCAAAGATGGACAAGATGGCAAATAAGCATATGAAAAGATACTCCACATTATATGTTATCAGGGAAATAAAAATTAAAACAATAATGAGGTACTACTATATACCTATTGGAATGGAATATCACTAAGCTTGAAAAATAAGGAAATTTTGCCATTTCTCAACAACATGAATGAACCTGGAAGATGTTATGCTAAGTGAGATAAGCTAGGCACAGAAAGAAACTTACTGCATGATCTCATTTATATGTGTAATCTAAAAAAGTCAAATTGATAGAACCAGAGAATAGAATAGTAGTTACTAGGGGCAGGGATGGGTCTGGGAAATAGGGAGATGATGGTCAAAGGATACAAAGTTTCAGTTATGTCAGATAAGTAAGTTCTAGAGATCTAATATACAGCATGGTGACTATAGTTAATAATACCTGAAATTTGCTAAGTGTTCTCCCACAGAAAAGGTAACTATATGAGGTAATAGATATATTAGCTTGACTATAGTCATCATTTTATATGTATGTCATCATTTTATATCTATTTTATATGTATATCAGAATATTATGTTATCCACCTTAAATATATTGGCAAAATTCCAGAACACTGACTAAAGAAAATACAGGTGGGGATGTGGAGCAACAGGAGCTCTCATTCATAGCTGTTGAGAACGCAAAATGGTACAATCATTTTGGAATACAGTTGAGAGGTTTCTTAAAAAATACACATGCTCTTACCCTACGATCCAGCAAACAAATTACACCCATTGGTATTTACCCAAAGGAGTTGAAAACTTATGCCCCTCCAGAAATCTACATATGGATGTTTATAACAAATTTATTCGTAACTGTAAAAACCTAGAAGCAACCAAGATGTCCTTTAACAAGTGAATGGATAAATAAATTATGGCACATCCAGATAATGAACTATTATTCAGCACTAAAAAGAAATTGGCTGTCAAGTGATGAAAAGATATGGTGAAAAAAACTTAAATGTATGTTATTAAGTGAAAAAAGTCAATCTAAGAAGGCCACACATACTGTATGATTCCAATTATATAACATTCTGGAAAACATAAAACTATGGAGACAATAAAAAGATCAGTGATTTCCAGGAGTTGGAGACTAGGGAGGGATGAATAGGTGGAGAACAGAGGAATTTTACACAGTGAAACTACTCTGTATAATACTGTAATGATGGCTACATGTCATTATACATTTGTCCAATGTATAATGTCCAATGTACCCATAGGATGTACAATGCCAAGAGTAAGCCCTAATGTAAACTGTAAACTTTGGATGATAATGATCTGTCAGTGTAGGTTCATCAGTTGTAAAAAAATGTATCACTTTGGTGGGGGATGTTGATACTGGGGGTTGTTGATATGCTTGTGTCGGGTGAGGGAATATATGGGAAATCTCTGTACCTTCTGCTCAACTTTACTGTGAGCCTAAAACTACTCTAAAAATAAAGTTTATTAAAATGAATAAATAAACATTTCAAGATATTTTTTTAAAAGTGAAGCAGCAGGCATGGAAAGGTATTATCTCAATTTTATGGGTGAGAAAACAGAACCTAGAGAGGTTGCCATTTTTTCAGCGTAAACTGGTGAGACGAGAATAAAACGAGAGCCAGGCTGTCATTTCCTAACTCATAGCCCTGCTTCCCATCCTTCCTTGTGCCAGTATTTAGAGATGTTGGCAGCCTGTAGTAAGTGATTATATTTCAGTTTTGACCACAGTCTACTTATGGGTTGGCATCATATGTCTTAGATAGTACAACTCAAGGCCAACAGTGCTGTGCTCTGGAATGTAATACCACTTTCCATTTAAATGAGCTACATCTTGTCTCCCCAAACTTCTGCTTCTATTATAAACTGGATAAACCCATTACCCAAAAGTCATTTTAAGAAATAAACAGGTGGAGTTGAAACTTCTTGAAATGCTAAGGACTTCTATCCCAAGACAGATTGACTCTCAGTAACAGTGAAGTTCTCGTTTCTTCAGTTCCCCACAGAATTTAAGAATGCATAAAAAAGGATGAGTTTGTGTCCTTTGTAGGGACATGGATGCAGCTGGAAACCATCATTCTTAGCAAACTATCACAAGAACAGAAAACCAAACACCGCATGTTCTCACTCATAGGTGGGAACTGAACAATGAGATCACTTGGACTCGGGAAGGGGAACATCACACATCGGGGCCTATCATGGGGAAGGGGGAGGGGGGAGGGATTGCATTGGGAGTTATACCTGATGTAAATGACGAGTTGATGGGTGCTGACGAGTTGATGGCTGCAGCACAGCAACATGGCACAAGTATACATATGTAACAAACCTGCACGTTATGCACATGTACCCTAGAACTTAAAGTATAATAATAATAATAAATTAATTAAAAAAAATGCAACCACAGTGAGTATTCTATAGTCAGTGTATCAGTTTAAAACAACCTGCAAATATAAAGGAACATACTGAGCAACTTATTACTGTTTGTATATCTACTGCTGGTATGTGCTGAGGGACATCAAGAGGAAATATCAGATTTGGTTGGTCAGTCTTGATTCCCCAGAAGCTTAGAAGCCAATTGAGAAAACAAAACACACCATATAAAGGACTCTACATATTCAGACGAGCCCAGATGAGGTCAGGAATGTATTTTAGTGTGACTTACCCTGAAGCAGACCCTATGAGAAGAATTTGAGTGCATATATTTTGGGAGGAAGAGGTAAGGAGTGCGGGAAAAGAGAAATGAGGTGGGGAAGGGAAGGCAGCCAATAAAGGGAGACAACTATTAGACGACTATCACCATGGGTGACTAGAAGTTAATCCAATGAGGAAGTACTAGGAAATGGCATAGAACACATGTCTCAGAGATATTCTATCTAATGGATGGGGAAGCCATAGTACTTGTATTCCAGCTCTTAATCTGGGCTAGAATTGGGGCATTGAGGATGCTCCTGGGAGTATTAATTCATGGCACTTCAGCCTGACAGGCATCTGGATGCAGCAGCTTTCTGCAGTCTGGAAAACATACTCAAGCACAGTGGGCAGATGCTGACAACTGGAAGTCAGGCTGTGCACATAAAACAGAAGAGTTCAAGGAATGTGGGTGGGGTGCTGACAGAGTGTCTGCTGCAGTAGGATTTCTAGTGGAGGTGAGACTTGATGATACTCTCTCTTTTCTCCCCAGGTCTCCTCATGACCATATCCCTGTTGTCCATTGTGTATGGAGCCTTGCGCTGCAACATCCTAGCCATCAAAATCAAGTACGATGAGTATGAAGTCAAAGTGAAGCCTCTTTCCTATGTCTGTATCTTCCTGTGGAGGAGCTTTGAGATTGCCACTCGAGTTGTAGTCCTGGTCCTCTTTACCTCCGTCCTGAAGACCTGGGTGGTGGTTATAATACTCATCAACTTCTTCAGTTTCTTCTTGTACCCCTGGATCCTCTTCTGGTGCAGTGGTTCCCCATTCCCTGAGAACATAGAGAAGGCCCTCAGTCGGGTGGGCACCACCATTGTACTATGCTTTCTAACTTTATACTGGTATCAACATGTTCTGCTGGTCTGCTGTACAGCTGAAAATTGACAGCCCTGACCTCATCAGCAAGTCCCATAATTGGTACCAGCTACTGGTGTATTACATGATGAGATTCATTGAGAATGCCATCCTCAGATGTGTATAAGAGACAGTTGGTACCAGCTACTGGTGTATTACATGATGAGATTCATTGAGAATGCCATCCTCCTCCTCCTGTGGTATCTTTTCAAGACTGACATCTATATGTATGTGTGCGCACCTCTGTTGGTCCTGCAGCTGCTCGTTGGGTACTACACAGCCATTCTCTTCATGCTTCTATTCTATCAGTTCTTCCACCCTTGCAAAAAGCTCTTTTCCTCCAGTGTTTCTGAAGGCTTTCAGAGGTGGCTCAGGTGTTTTTGCTGGGCCTGCAGGAGGCAAAAACCCTGTGAGCCAATAGGAAAGTCAGATCTACAGTCATCCAGAGATAGAGATGAGACACCTTCTAGCAGTAAAACAAGTCCTGAGCCTAGTCAGTTCTCGAATACTGAAAATCTTTGCTCTGCTTAATGGGACCCAAGGTCTCAGGGCACAGGCATATTATTTTCTGGGTTTGATACCCGTTATTCATACAAATAATGAGCCCTACACAGGGAACAAGGCAGGAAGTTAGCTGTTAATTCCTTGTGAGCTGCTCCTCTTTATAGAGCTCTTGGGTATGTAGAACTATATGGGAAGAAGCCAGGAAAACCTCTGAGTGTTGAAGGGGCAACCCAAGGCTTCACAGTTCACAGGTAACCATGTTATGTTCTTCTAGGCATTACTGGCCTTTTCACTGACAAGTTACCCCTCAAATCTGAATTGTACTGGTTAGATTCATTAGATAGAATGAGGAGAGGGGCTTACCTGTTCTCTAGTTTTCCAGAGTGCTGTTTGGGTAACCTGAAGTTTTATGATCCCTGAACATAGTTTTCACCCAAGAGCTGTCCTGGTGACCAAAAAAGATTACTAGGGTTTTGCCATCAGCAACATCATTCCCGTCAGAGCTTTCAGGGAGGGTTGTTCAAGTTTGGTTTTTGAATAGAGGTTTCATTTTCATCTTATTAGGGCTTTTTGTACATAGCCAACTGTAACCACCCTGGCATGCTGTCTCTAATTGATTCAAGAGCCTAGATTTGGAGACCTTGTCCCTTAGCATCCATGAATGCAGAAATGAGTGATAAATTTGGCTATGGAAGCCCTGGAATTTTAGGAAAGTTGTGATTCTTTGATATGTTGATGAAATTCTGGATCAGGAGGGGTGTTAAAACATCAAAATGATGGAGGCTTATGTAAGTAGATTTCTTACCATCTTACTCCTGCCTCCCCATTCCTTGCCTGTCAGGACCATTTTAGAAGAGTTACCTTGGTTAACTTAAGGGTTTTTTAGAAAGCCCCACAGAAATCTCTCACCCAGTTCCAGTGTATAGGGAATTTTCATTTTCATTATTTGAAGGAAGAGGGTTTTCCTTACCACCACCTGTAATTAGAGATTGATTCAGAAACTTTTTCTAAATTATAAAGACGGAATGACCAGAAAAGTTTTGTCTTTCATGGAATGCAATTTGACTTGTCATAATTGTGAGTTAATTTGATAAAGATCTCCAGTTTTATCCTCTGACACCCTTTAAAGTTCTATTTATTTTTTCCTTTAATCTGAGACCCTATTTGTTTCATAAAAGACGATTGAGTAGCATATCCTCAATTATCTTGGAAAAATGCCTAGATCTAGTGCCATTATTTCTACCATTAAAATCTTGAAAGTGAAATACTTGAAAACAGGTGAACATAAAGATCACACCAATTTAGAATGAATATTAAAGCCTGAGAAATTTACAAAAGGGACTCTATTTATGGACTCAATTTTACCATATGGAATAGGGATTCATTTCTCCGTGTTAACCTACAAAACGTATTTATCTGGCCATTGCACTTCGGATAATTGTCATTTTAAATTCTTCTTGGTGTCAAATTTTTAAGTAATTTCATGCACACAGGAGAAAATGCAATTTGGTAATCAGTTTCCACTACATTCAGAGGTCAAGAAAGCAGTATATATTCTTTCACAAGACATCCATATTGTTTAATATTTATAGAGTTCATAGAAATACATCAATAAGCTCCTAAACTATAAAGCCTCAATTTTAGTTTTTCTCATTTGAAATGTTTTTGATTTACCAATATTTGTGTCCAGACAGTAGATCATTTTTTGTCTATTTTTAACCAAATAAGAATAACACTCAAGACTGTGTTCTCCATCCCAACACATCACTTACCACTTGCACTATTCTTAATAGGCCTAAAATATTGAGCATATATAATCAAAATACTTCATACAACATATACTCCCATGCACTCTTCATGTAATCACATATGTGCATAGATACACAATTGTAATACATAAAACACCCTTGAAAATATATAATGACTTTGAATAAAATAAAGTTACCATGTTAATACATCATTTTTTGTTTTTTCCTGATTAACAAAAGGACTCTATAATGATTAGGAGAGCAGTAAGGCCATTCTTTAGTCATTCCAAGTGTATATTTGTATCACACCAGTTACTTGTGTTCATTGACACCAAATATTTTCAAGCTTTTTGTGAGAAAGAAATTCTTGCCTTGAGTCTCTGCAGTGGCAAATGGTAGGGGTGATAGTGCTCCCTTTTCACCTGAAATGACTCCACCTCAGGCCTTGGGAGTGAGGTGTGGGAGTAGCCACCAGCCTGCCACTGACTAGGCATGTTACGAATTAGACAGGGATGGAGAGACTGGATTTTTCCAGCTTTGGTTTGGAAGCTTGTCTCAAAAACCATTACAAAATCTTAACCTTCAAATACATTTTAAATCACTTTAATTTAAAACATAGGGGAGCAACTTGAGTGATCCCAAACCAAACTAACAGTGCTGGTTTGTCAGACACCCAAAACCCACTGCACACATTTATAAGGACAGAGGTTTGATAACTCATTTGGGTATTTTGTCAGTTTTAACCCTTGATACACAGGTATCCCAG